CTTACATGGATGTGAAGCTTGGGTGGTAAATGCAGCAGCGAGGAGACGGTTGGAGGCAGTGGAGACGTCCTGTCTAAGGGCAATGTGTGGTGTAAATATTATGCAGAAAATTCGGAGTGTGGAAATTAGGAGAAGGTGTGGAGTTAATAAAAGCATTAGTCAGAGGGCAGAAGAGGGGTTGTTGAGGTGGTTTTGGTCATTTAGAGAGAATGGATCAAAGTAGAATGACATGGAAAGCATATAAATCTATAGGGGAAGGAAAGAGGGGTAGGGGTCGTCCTCGAAAGGGTTGGAAAGAGGGGGTAAAGGAGGTTTTGTGGGTGAGGGGCTTGGACTTCCAGCAAGCGTGCATGAGCATGTTAGATAGGAGTGAATGGAGACGAATGATACTTGGGACCTGACGATCTGTTGGAGTGTGAGCAGGGTAATATTTAGTGAAGGGATTCAGGGAAACTGGTTATTTTCATATAGTCGGACTTGAGTCCTGGAAATGGGAAGTACAATGCCTGCACTTTAAAGGAGGGGTTTGGGATATTGGCAGTTTGGAGGGATTATGTTGTGTATCTCTATACGTATATGCTTGTAAACTGTTGTATTCTGAACACCTCTGCAAAAGCAGTGATAATATGTGTGTGTGGTGAAAGTGTTGAATGATGATGAAAGTATTTTCTTTTTGGGGATTTTCTTTCTTTTTTTGGGTCACCCTGCCTCGGTGGGAGACGACCAACTTGTTGAAAAAAAAAAATATATATATATATATAATTTTTCATATGTATCTTTATTCATGTGGTGCAAGAATAGAATATAATACCGACAAGATGAAATTAAGACACATGTGCAACATCTGGGTATCTTTATTGTAGACGTTTTGCCATCCAGTGGCTTTATCAATACAAATTCTAGGACATAACTTGAAGAGAGTAGGACTATATACAGAAGATGGGGTAATCAGTCCCTCAACCTCTGAGGACATGTACATAACCTTCACGGCTACGACAACTACTACTACAACTAACCCATCTCTTTGGGAAGGACCTACTTCACTGGGGAATCCCGCCTACCAGTGACTATGCCCTCGTCTGCTACACCTGACGTTTCTATATAAGCGCCAGGCTCCTTCCTTCTGCTTCAGAATCTCCAAGACTATGGTGCTCTTCGCACCTACTCCTAGGTTGAGGGACTGATTACCTCATCTTCTGTATATAGTCCTACTGTCTTCAAGTTATGTCCTAGAATTTGTATTGATAAAGCCACTGGATGGCGGAACGTCTACAATAAAGATACCCAGACGTTGCACATGTGTCTTAATTTCATCTTTATTCATGTATTTATTAAGATCAAGAGCACTGTTCTGTACCAAATTCAAATACTTAATCATAATGATAGACAAATGAAATTTGAAAATTTCTTTCTGACATGTAATATAAAATATATAAACAAAAATAATAAAAAATTAAAAAGATTAAAAATCTACAGCCAATAATAAAACACAAATTAACACGGTTCACACAAGACTGGAGTTTAGTTCTAAACGTGAGAACTAGGCATCCTTATTGCTTCTTGTTCATCAATGATATATAGGACAGTATTTTAGCACTCAGTCTAATACACACAATAAAGACTTCATTTACATAATTACATGACATAAAACAATCTTTGTGACAGAAGTCTTTACTCATATTATCAATTGAGGCCTAACTTGTGTTGCCTTTTTGCACACCAATATCAAGATTACTTTGACTAATAATGTAAATATTTTAAAAATAATTTCACCACAGCCAGTATCGAGGTTAAATTGATACTTGGGGGGTATATATGTAGGCGCTCTCTCATTTGTGTTTACTAACAGTATAGGAAAATGTCTCATTTTCCTGAATAACATATTTCCTTGTATAAAATATTTTCAATATCTGAAATAGTATGAACATCAAAATATGATAATTATTTATACAATTGTACAGTAGTAAAAAACATGGACAAGTTCATTTAATAGTGAAAAATAATTGTGAAAAGTTCCTTTAACGATTGCCTCTTGAATCACTTGCTGTACTGTTTGCTTTCTTCCTAAACAGTCATCATGAGACAAGTTATATTACTAAAGAAAATATAGTGCAGCACACACACACACACTATGATAAAAAATAAAGAATCCAGTCCACGGTCTGGGAAAGCAAAGAGAAAGGTACTGGAGGGCAGGTACAAAATGCATGTAAACTTGTATATTTACCCTAATATTTAATAATGGACATAGGAATGAATGGTCCTGAAAGTGTCTTTCTAAAAACTGGACAGTTTAATAAGAAAGTACAAAAATCAGGTACTGCTCTATCTTCTTCAAGAAAAACTTTCTCAACAAGTCTGAATTATAAGAAGTTAGAACTTACCCATTTAATATTCCAAATTTAATTAAAATACAATTTATCATTTGCTTAATACAATAACAGTTTTGCTTTATCACTTTGTACACCCAGGAATTTGTACCCTTAGAGTCAACAGTTATTTTAGAATGAATATAAATCAATCTCAACAATCCATTTATATAAAAAAAGAGCACAGACTATATAGAGATAAAATAAATATTAAGTAAAACAAGCCCAAGAAGATAAAGTAAACAAAATTCTCAAATCAGAATGAGAATAGAATATGAAGGTCAGGTACAGCAACAAACATGGAGTTAGTGTTGTGGAATGAATGGTGGAAACGTTAAAAATATTATTTTGACATAAATAATTCTATCTTTCACATGTTATATAAGACAATACCTGTGTGACAGCTCACACAAAACTTTAAACATAAGCTCATTCACTTCTAAAGGCTGAAGGAGCAATAAATAAAATTATGTCAATTTTCAATATAGTCTAAATAATCTTATGCCAAACAAAGCAAATTACTACCTACTTTTAAAATATTTCAAACATTTATAAAATAATTCTATAAAAATTAAAGCTAACAAAGTTCGTGTACCATTTACATGGTTACAAAACTTCACTGCAATTGCAAAGTCTACTGAACTGCATGTAAACTTTAAAGTTTATATTAAGTCTGGAATTATTAAACATATTTTTTCCCTTTAAGCATTATATAGAAAAAATCCAAAATTGCACATGATCTCTCTCGCTCATCTCATTCTGAAGAATTGGCAACTTTCAAATAATTCTATAAAACTTGCTAAAAAAAATGTAACCGACTAATATAAAATTTAGAAGATATCAAAAGCAACAATACCACCTAGTCAGAGAGTGAAGAATAATCATGATCTGTACCATGTATTTGAAGGAATTACTATTATTGAAGCCCTTTAAAATCTCTCTCAAAAGCTCCCAAACACCAACATTGTTTAAAAAAATGTTAATCATGTCATACTTAATGACAGTTAATTCATGACATCTCAAAAAGTGACTCAAAATGTTGTGAAACACTTGATGTGGTGTTATAAATTTCTATTGCATTATCTGACTCCCATCCCTCTCTCCATCTATGTAAATAAGAGAACTAGGAGTGTAGGCTGTAGTGGGACCAGTTGTAGAAAGTGTATGATGTGAAGGTAAGCCTACACTAGGGTGCGACTGGGATATCTGGGAGATAAGGTTTTGGTGCTGTGGTAGAGTGGATGGCAAATACTGTGAGAGAGCCTGCATCTGGGTATCATAAACTTCAGGGCGTGAGAAAGCCATCTCCGTGATCATTTCCGCTGGGAGGGAAGGTGGCCCTTGACTACTTGCAGGAGGATTCTGTAGGCTAGGATCACCAAACACAAACTCTGGATAAAACCCAGCTGGTCCTGCAACACTCATCTGGAATATTTATAATAATGATTAGAACTGATTCTCCTAAAGAATTCTAGTATTAAATTTTAAATTCCTGTAGTGTGTGATTACTGTGCCTATTTGCAATTACAAGTATGTACTTATTTGCAGCTACAGGAGCAAAGCTCTGCTCATGCTCAAAATTCCCTACTCAACATTTTCTGAAATTTCCTCTTTCCTCACTCATCCCACATTGAGGCACAGCCACTATTCTAGCCCATTTCTCGCATCCCACCTGTATTTTAAACTACATAATTCTTGATCATAAACATTTTAAGGTCCCCTTTCTCTCCACAATTTTTCATTCACTATTATCACTACTTTGGCTCTTGTTCTCTCAAATACACCTGATTTAATCCCATTTACCAACTCTCCCAACCCTTTCAACTTTGTTTCACTCAGTGTCATTTATAACTACCGATTTGGTGGAATGGAATGGTAAAGGGCGTGATAAGAGAAAAAGGTCACTTATAAGAGGTTTTACAAAGCAGAAGTGATTATAAGAAGGGTGGAGTATATGGAGAGTAAAAGAAAGGTGAAGAGAGTGGTGAGGGAGTGCAAAAGGAGAGCAAATGATAGTGGGTGAGTCACTGTCAACAAATTTTGCTGAGAATAAGAAAAAATTTTGGAGTGAGATAAATAGGTTAAGAAAGCCTAGGGAATGAATGGGTTTGTCAGTTAAAAACAGAATAAGGGAGTCAGCAGATGGGAAGTTGAAGGTATTGGGAAGATGGGAGTATTTTGAGGAATTTTTAAATGCTCATGAAGAGAGGGAGGCAATAATTTCATGCACTGGCCTGAGGGGTATAACATCCTTAAAGAGTGAAGAAGAGCTGGATGCAAGTGTAACGGTGGTACATGAGGCATTATGTAGGATGAAAGGGGGTAGAGCACCTGGAACTGATGGGATCAAGACAAATGTTAAAAGCAGGTGGGGGATATAGTTTTGGAGTGGTTAGTATTTTTGTTCAATAAATGTATGAAAGAGGGGAAGGTACCTAGGGATCAGCAGAGAGCGTGTATATTTCCTTTATATAATGGGAATGGGGACAAAAGAGATTGTAAAAATTATAGGGGAATAAGTTTACTGAGTATACAAGGCGAGTGTAAAACGGAAGCCTGTAATTGTTTCACATGATGGTAGGATTGCTGGTGTCTTTTTTTTGTCTCATAAACATGCAAGACTTCAGGTATGTCTTGTTACTTCTACTTACACTTAGGTCACAATACACATGCATTTACAAGAATATATACACACTCCTCTGGGTTTTCTTCTATTTTCTTACTAGTTCTTGTTCTTGTTTATTTCCTCTTAACTCCATGGGAGAAGTGGAACAGAATTCTTCCTCCATAAGCTGTGCATCATAAATGGCGCCTAACATGGCGGGAGCAAGGGGCTAGTAACCCCTTATCCTGCATACATTACTAAAGTTAAAAAAGAGAAACTTTTGTTTTTCTTTCTGGCCCACCCTGCCTCGGTGGGTACGGCTGGTTTGTTGAAAGAAGACAGAAGGTAAAGTGTATGGCAGGGTTATTATTGAAAGAATTAGATGTAAGACAGAGCAGGATTGCAGATGAAAGAGTCTTCAGAATGGGTAGGGGATGTGTAGATCAAGTGTTTGCATTGAAACATATAGGTGAACAATATTTAGATAAAGGTAAGAAAATTTTCATTGCATTTATAGACTTAGAAAAGGCATATGATATGGTGGATAGAGAAGCAAGGTAGCAGGTGTTGCAAGTGTATGGAAAAGGTTCTAAGTTACTAAATGCTGTAGAGAGTTTTTATGAGGATAGTGAGGCTCAGATTAGGGTATGTAGGAGAGAGGGAGATCACTTCTCAATAAGCCTTAGACAGGGATGTGCAATGTCACCATGGTTGTTTGACATATTTATAGATGGGGTTGTAAAAGAAGTAAATGATAGGGTGTTGGGGAGAGGGGTGAGATTAAATTATGGGGAATCAAATACAAAATGGGAATTGACGCAGTTACTTTTTGCTGATGATACTGTGCTTTTGGGAGATTCTAAGGAAAAGTTGCAAAGGTTAATGGACAAGCTTAGGAGGGTGTGTAAAGGAAAAAAGTTGAAAGTGAACATAGATAAGGGTAAGGTGGTGAGGGTATCAAACAATTTAGGTAAAGAAAAATTGGATATCACATTGGAGAGAGGGAGTATGGAAGAAGTGAATGTGTTCAGATATTTGAGAGTTGACTTGTCAGCAGATGGGTTTATGAAGGATGATGTTAACCATAGAATTGAAGGAAAAAAGGTGAGTGGTGCTTTGAGGTATCTGTGGAGACCAAAAAACGTTATCCATGGAGGTAAACAGAGGAATGTACAAGAGTATAATGGTACCAACACTCTTACATGGGTGCAAAGCATAGGTTATAAATACTGCAGCAAGGAGGAGGCTAGAGGCAGTGGAGATGTCGTGTCTAAGGGCAATTCAGTAAAATAGGATGACTTGGCGTATAAATCTGTAGGGGAGGAGGGGTTGAAGTCATCCTAGGAAAGGATGGAGAGGGTAAGAAGAGGTTTTGTGTGCAAGGGGCTTGAACATGCAGTAGACATGTGTGAGTGTGTTAGGAGTGAATGGAGACAAATGTGTTTTGGGACTCATGAGCTGTTGGAGTGTGAGCAGGGTATTATTTTGTGAAAGGATTCAGGGAAATCGGTTAGCCGGACTTGAGTCCTGGAGGTGATAGTACAATGCCTGCACTTCAACCCATAAATGGTCCAAATGTACATATACGATCTCTCGCGTAGTGCCCCAAATTTTTTGAGAAAAAAAAATTTTTTTTTTTTTTTAATAGGAAGAAAGAGCATATGGTACCCAGGCATCCCCAATTATTTTAATATGGCGCACAGTGAGTGCGCACACCCATTCTCTCATGTCTAGGCGACTCAGGCTTATAGTGGCAATGTTGAATGTATGACAAATAAAACATACATACATTTGGGGCACTGGCGGTAAAATCGTATATACAGGGGACCCCCGGTTAACGACATTTTTTCATTCCAGAAGCACGTTCAGGTGCCAGTACTGACCGAATTTGTTCCCATAAGGAATATTGCGAAGTAGATTAGTCCATTTCAGACCCCCAAACATACATGTACAAACGCACTTACATAAATACACTTACATAATTGGTCGCATTGGGAGGTGATCGTTAAGCGGGGGTCCACTGTATACGTTTGGACCGTTTATGGGTTAAAAGAGGAGGTTTGGGATATTAGCTATTTGGAGTGGCATCAAAACTGTAGTATTTGAGCACCTCTGCAAATACAGGGACTGTGTGTGAATAATGGTGAGTGGTGAATGATGGTGAGAGTGTTTCTTTTTTGGGTCACCCTGCCTTGGTGGGAGACTGCCAACGTGTTGAAAAAAAAAAAATATATACAGCTTCGCCTCACTTAATGACAGGGTTCCACTCCTAAGACCACGTCGTTAACCCTTTCAGGGTCCCCGGGCCCTCTCCCAGACTTGTTCTCAGGGTCGCCCAAATTTCAAAAAAAAAAAAATTATTTTTTCTTACGAAAAGATAGAGAATCTTTTCCCGATCATAATGACACCAAAAGTATGAAATTTGATGGAAAACTTACGGAATTATGCTCTCGCAAAGTTAGAGGTCTCGACAATGTTTACACTTCGGCGATTTTGCCCACTTTGAGCCCTATTTTCGGCCAATTCCAATGTACTAGTCGACAAAAATCATAACTATTCCGCTAAAACTCCATTTTTTTCTATCGAATGAGTACAAGAAACCACCCATTTACCGATTTCAACTATCCAATACAGTGGTCAGAATTTAGCAATTTTGCCATTTTCACACAAATTTCAAAAGATGCCAATTTCCAAATAGGGTCCAGAATAAACAAGAAAGACATTCCTGGGACTAAAATAACATTTCCTCTGTTCATTAGTCACGTCCCCAAGCCCCTCTTAAATTCTTTTGCTTTCCACTTTGAATTTTTATTCTCACAAAAAATAGAAGATTTACTGTTATGCAGACTACTGCATTAGTGTAGAAATGGTAAGAATAATACTGGTGCACTTGTGAAAGAGTATTAGACTAAGTATTGGATACTTAGCATGATTTGTTTACTTTTGAACTTTGGTAAAAATCGAAAATTTCTGCTACTCTGAGCTCAATTCCAAGGTACTTTTCATTGTAAAACCAGTCAAAATCATCTCAATTTCTGTAATATGTCTTCCATTCTATAAAATGAGACCAGGAAAACGAGAATACAACAATAAATACCATACGAAAATACAGTGCAAAGTCGCTATTTTAATCCAAAAGCACGGTCAAAGTTTTTTTTTCTCATTACGCGCTGTGCTGCAGGATTTTTTTTTATACTGCACACACTGATCACAGACCCATTCTTTCATATGTAGACCTACCAGCTTTCTCTCACTAGATTTGAGGGCAGCTAGAATTTAGGCGTACTAGTACGTCAAAAACCCTGGTGGGCAAGCCGTACTAGTACATCCGAAACCCTGAAAGGTTTAAATGAATTCACTGCTAATGAGGAGCATACTATAATGGTAGTTTGTGTCGACCATCTTTGATATTGTTTTAATGTCACCCTTGCACCATTTACAATATTTCTGGTATATTTTCAATATACAGTAGTGTACTGTATATTGAAATAAACAGAATAAAGGAAATCAGCTCTAATATACATTATTTAGGTAGGAATACTGGTCAGAGAGCCCGTCGTAAGTCTGAGACGTCGGTAAATGAATACGCTAAGTGAGGAGAGGCTGTATATATATGATAAACAATGCTGAAAATCTCAAGTATACTATCAGGGCTCTGGTGGCCTGGTGGTTAACGCTCTCGCTTCACACAGCAAGGGCCTGGGTTCGATTCCCAGCCAGAGTAGAAACATTGGACGTGTTTCTTTCCACCTGTTGTCTATGTTCCCCATCAGTAAAATGGGTACCTGGGTGTTAGTCGACTGGTGTGGGTCGTATCCTGGGACACTGACCTAATTTGCCCAAAATGCGGAGCATAACAAGGGACTTTCTATATAGTAGTATGTCATTGTTATCAGCTAGGACTGTATACCCTGTACATGTACTTGTAGTAAAATAAAGATATTATCTAAAAATATGAGTATAGTATCCAGAATGGCTTGTTCTATGCTTTCCAGATACAAGACTTAGTTTTATCACAACACTGAAATATCCTATACTGCAAGTAGAAACATTTTTACTGTCTTTTGAGCATTTCTTTTAAATAAGGTAAGCATAAGAGCACATTTTCATGTAAAGGTCTGTGGTGAACCAATCAAGACTTACAGCTAACCCACAAACTGGCAATAAATCTTTAGATATTTCAGTCAGTGTCTGCACTCTGAAGGAGGGGTGTTATGTTGCAATTTTATAGCTGTAGTGTAAGTGCACCTCTGGCAAGACAGTGATGGAGTGAATGATGAAAGCTTTTCTTTTTTGGGCCACCCTGCCTTGGTGGGAGACAGCTGATGTGTTAATATAAAAATAAAATTTCAGTCAGTCTTAGACAATTAATGAGTCTCGCCTGGTTGATGCAGAATGGACTGAAATGTTTAAAAGATTTATCTCTAATCTGTGGGTTGGTTGTGACTGGTTTTAGTCATGGCACTATGACTTGAATTCTTCAAGATTTACATGCCATTTTGCAAGTACAGTACTTTATATCTTGACCTTGCATGTGATATGATTAAAGGATATGTATCAATTGTGTGTGAAACACCAACAAATCCAAAGAAACATACCTGATAGCCCTGTTGAGGATAAGTTGGTTGTGGATAGTGATGCTGCTGTAGAGCATGTCCCATGGGTACTGCCTGGATGCCTTGAGACAGTGCCGAGCCAATACTGACTTGAGGTACTCCACCAGGAAGGCTCTGGTGTAGACCTTGGGGTAATCCTTGTGGTACACTCTGACTCAAGCCTTGAGGTACTGAGGTGGCCAAGCCAGGGGGTGGTAATGGAACACCAGTGCCTCCTTGTATACCCTGAGCTACTCCTTGAGGCACAGGTGCACTGAGACCTTGAGGAAGTCCCTGTGGTATACCTTGATGAAGACCTTGAGCTACTTGCTGAGAAATAAAGTGCCGCGTATCAAAAGGTACTTGCTGCTGCTGACTCAGACTTGGGTCACCAAATGCATGTGGGGTATGACCAGTAACTGTTTGTGCAATGTTTGTAAACTGACCTCCACCTGATCCTTGCTGAACAGCATAAACTCCTGCCACAGGTCCACTTAAGGATTGACTAACAGATATAAAAGATTGAGATGCAGTATTTGAGACTGCAGATTGTCCATCAGATTGTGACACTGGAGATCTATACAATGGAGAGCCCATTATAAGTTTATTGAACTGAACAGGATCAACCTGTTGGCCATGATAGTTTATAGCAATTGGCGCAGAGAAACCAGGTGGAGGAGCAGCTCCGCTACCTGAACTACTTATAGTCCCTTCACTGCTCACTGAAGGTGATGTAGACACTGCCATACTAGATCTGTTATTACTGCTCTCACTTACACTTGGCAACAAGACAGCACTCATCTGACCCCCAGCAGCCTGACTTGCCATATGAAATAAAGCAGCTGGACTGATACTGTATGGATACTGCTGCTGCTGTTGTTGGGTTTGAGTTGTTGATACTGTGGTGGTTGGCTGGTAAGATTTAGGTTTTTGTGGTTCTTGTTTCTGTGATTTGGAAGTTAACTGGATTGATTGGGGTAGGACATTGCTTGGCCAGAATTCCCACTGTCTGTGTTGTGGTAATGACTGTTGTGGATGTTGTTGCTGCTGTGGGTTTTGTTTTTTCTGTTTCTGCTGCTCTTTTTGTTGTTGCTGCTGATGCATGGCTGTCATTTGATGATAATGATTAACAGCTGTTACATTATTAGGCCCCTGACTTTCATGTGCATGTCCCTGACTACTAAGTTTCAGTACTTGGTTGACATGGTCAGAGACTGTCTGACCCTGGCTAGAAAGTCCCACTGGAACATGTGCCAAATGTTGAAAACCTGGAGGGGCATTAATAGCCCCACTAGATATATCAGCTGGTTTCTCTATATCGCCCCAATCATGTACATTAGCTGATCCTAACAATGCATTAGCTGATGAGACCCCAGAGTTACTTACTGCTGAGTTACTAACACAAGACCCCTCACTTCTACCTCCAACTCTTATTGCAGTTACAACAGATACAGGATCACTTAAACTACCCAACAAAGAGTCACTTTCAGATGCAAACATCCCAGAATTCACAGTATCAGTCCCAGGTTGCAAACTATTACCTCCAACCTGAGCAGTATTTACCCCAGACTTTACTGTACAGGTCAACCCAACTTTTGGAGTGCCACTGGCAGGTAGAGCACCCGTGACATCAGTGGGCGATTTCCCTCGTCCTTGGTTTGTGGGTCTGCTGGCAGCTGCCTGTGATTGGTCCGCTTTTGTTGTGGATGTCTGACACGTTGAATTTCCAGTGACGACATCTGGAATAGGTATTATCTCTTTAGTTCTCCAGTAGCTTCAAAATATAATCTTAAAATTTAAGCAATGCTGGTCAATTTCTAATTGTTTTTTTATAAATATCCTCGTTAAAGTGAATTATCAGTAATGAAGAGATAATATCCCAATCCAGAGTCACAACTGCTAATCAGTTCAGGTTTGTTGGAAGGACTAGATTCAATACAAAGGTTGAGAGATTTCATTTTATTGAAAGAATTTGATCACATTTTAGGCAATATCAAAAGCCATAATTTTTTTCAATCAATACTGGTGGTCAATCAATGACTGGATTGTAGATCAGTAAAAAATTCACTCATACTAATACCTTGCTTTAAAAGAAATACAGTTAAGCCAAATGAACAAAACAATAGCCATATATGGAGCACAAAACAAGAGATGCTGTAAGTACTGGTCAAAAAACAGCTGTGTGAAGATTTTACATTGATAGATCTTGTGTACTTCATTAACACTGCTACCTAGCATGGTATGCACAAGACCATCTGACAGAGCACTGCACAGGCAAATGTTTGCCCTACAAAATGTCTTTCCACTTACTGGTGTGATAAATGGCACAATCACATACAATAAGAAAATAGTGAGAATATATAAAAATAAGATGTTAATGAATATAACAAAATATTTCACAACAATGAGTATTGTCAAGCACTCTTCCCAAAACTAAGTAACACATTGAAGATCTGGATAAAATCACAACTTGTAGAAGGGATTGCCTATTGGATTAAAAGAACACTTGGAAAAAAAAAAATTAAGAGAATACAGCTTGTGAGTTTAGTACTCTTAACTTAAATAGAATTACAATTTCCATATCATTCAACAGGAAAAGAAACAGCACAGTAAGGGTAAATGCTAACAATATGACCTTGTGACCCAAACATTTCTATACTCTTGTCATATTTCATCAAGTACACACTTCACAATATTGTATATTCCTGGTACAATAGTCATTGATGAAATATTTCATGCAAAATCAACCTGAGAACAAACTTGTGAAATTTACAGTACACTTACTATTATGTTGCCTCCATGGTACCTTACATTTATCTTTCTGGTATATTTAATTCCCATTCACTATCTGGATGCCAAAACAAATATATACTAAATACGAGGTCAGATAATAATCACTTACCCTACCTATTTAACTACTCTTATATGAGGTCCAGTCACTGAACATTCATTGTGAAACTTAAGGCACTACAAACACAGTAGGTCATTATCTAACATAGAAGCTCTCATCTGTCAATGCTGTGGTTAAGTCATCTACACCAGAAAGAGGTGGAGGAAAGGTATTCAGGGAGGAGAGATAAGAGAAGACTACGGTGGAAGAGCGAGGCAAAATGAGTGTTGGAGTTAGCAAGGAGAGAGCATTGCTAAACATCGAAAATTGCAACCCTATCTCGCACATCACAATTTTGGATGAAATAAGTACCACATCCAGATAAGTTTAGTATTGGATATATGCTGGGTTTACTTCATAAATATTTATATAGAATATTGTTTAAACATACAATCACAAGCAAAATATTACATATATCTCATATCTGTCTTCATATACATTTATAACCTTGCATAAATCAATTAAAATGTTATACCGTATATCCATCTTACTGCACACGAACTCATAAGAACAAGTTCACGGAAAGTAATATGCAATATATCTCCTGAAAAATGTATGAGAGATGTATATAAGGTTTAGCCTGATCCCTTTCATTAAAAATAAAATATCCTGTCTATTGATTTGGTAAATAAAATGTCTTGCTTGCAATTGTATATCTTCTTAAATTTCAATTAAAATATCATACTTGACAATATTTTAAAGCATCTGATTATTTCTTAATTTATATTAAGATAAAAAATGAGCATACTTTATGAAACTTAAAAAGCAAATCATACAACTTCCACAAAAGCCACAAAATCACAAAAATTTCAGTTAAATGATCTACACCAATTTCAAGACTAATCTACATTTGCATTCTTCCTATTTGAGTTCTCACCATCATTTTGAGACTCAAGCTTTGCCCCTCCCCTTTTTCCCTTTCTAGTCTTAGGTTTACGCTTCTTTTTATTAACATTAGCACCATTTGTAGCACCATCTATTACTGTGAGTAAGCGGGAAGCTGATCTATCTCTTGGGATACCTGCAACACCTGAACCTAGTAATCCACCCTGAGAAACTTGTTCGCATGGATTAGTTTTCCTAACTAGTTCTGGTTGCTGAAAAGAATGTGGCAGTTTAACAACATTTTGTGGAGATTTATCCAGTGACTGAGATATTGTGACAATCTCTTTCTCAGGTCCAACAGGCACAAGTCTGCATGTCAATCCAAGAGAAGGCTGATGCTTGGCTTTAATTGCACCTTCTTTACTGTTATACTTTTTACTTTGCTTGATCCTACCAACATTACTATGGACAGCTTTATCTTTACTAGCATTCTGACTCCTCTGACCTGAATTTACTGCACAATCTGGATGGATTTTAAGTTTGCCCTTCCTACGAACTACACGTCTATCAAAACCTTCATCCTCACTTGAACTAAAGGCAGTTTGATTATTTGATTGGGTTCTTGTATATAATTTATTCATTTTTAAGCCTATGGGAGAGAAATCTGCTGAGGTTTGCATGTTACTATTATTTTCTGGATTCCCAAGGATGTTTGGGCTTTGGGAACTAAGCGAACTACTACTTTTACCTTTTAAGTTATTAGAGCCTTTCTTCCCAAGATCAAATTTCTGACCTCTCTTATACCCAGGGCCTGCCATTTCCCTTCTATATCGAACCTTCATTCTTTCTTTCTTTTTCTGCTTGCGTTTATCCTGTGCTTCTTTCATTTTCTCAAAGAGTGTTTGACCAATGTCATCTGGGACCTCAACAGCACATATAGAGACTGCACGACTATCACTCTCATCTGGTTCGTGTGTTTGATAACTGTGTATTTCTATCATTTTTAATATAAGGTTATAGACAGATGAAAAAGGATGTGGAGAAATATCAATACCATCAGATATTTTTTGGGCTGCTTTCTTCCAATTAACTGTCCAAACATACTGTTCATTTAACTGTGGTGGTACACAATGACATACTAATGTTTCTTTGCCTACCTTTCTTTCATCAAACGATTCAAGAGAATACCGTCTCATACCCAATATTTTATCTCCTTTTATCCGATACTCCTGGTCACTCTTCCATTTCTCACAGTGATCTTCCATCATATTTAGAGGTATAGAAAGTTTTAAATTACCTTCAGGTGTCTTAAGTGACCCAATCCCAGTTGGCAAAGTGGGTCCTCCTGGTCCTCCTATTAATTCCCTGTTCTCATTCTTCCGAACATCCTGAGATGTGGTCTGCTCAGGCATGTGCTTCTGTCGTTCCTCATCTCTATTCTCCCTCTCTTGGGTTATTTTTCGTGCTTCTCTACGATCTTTTTGCCGTTCTTTCTTTTCCCTTCTTTCCATATTAAGCCTCTTCTTTGGGCAATCCTTCTGTATGTGCCCAATTTTCCCACAAAAACGACAGCCTCGATCATTTGGAGGAGCGCCATCAGTGAGTTGCTTGGAGTCAAAGAGGTAATCCTAATAAAGAAATAGGAACTTGTTATCAACAGCCATTTTTTATATTTTGGAATAGTGCAGTTGGAGCATTTAGCATTTATTTTCTTTATTAAATATAAATGAAAGACAAGGTACCAAGGATTGGCAGAGAATATATATAGGACCTCTATGTAAGGAAAAAAAGAAACAGAAGGATAGGAATTAGCCTGCTGAGTATACCAAAACAAGTGCATGGCAGAATTATCAAAAGAGTCAAGCAAGATATAAAACTAAGTTTTCTAAGAGGATTTAGAAAGGGGTTGTGTGGGTAAAATCTTTCTTTCTTTCAACACACCGGCCATATCCCACTGAGGTGGGGTGGCCCAAAAGGAAAAACAAAAGTTTCTCCTTTCAAATTTAGTAATATATACAGAAGAAGGGGTTACCAGCCCCTTGCTCCCAGCATTTCAGTCGCCTCTTATGACACGCACGGCTTACGGAGGAAGAATTCTGTTCCACTTCCCCATGGAGATAAGAGGAAATAAACAAGAAGAACTAGAAAGAAAATAGCAGAAAACCCAGAGGGGTGTGTATATATATATGCTTGTATATTATGTGTAGTGTGACCTAAGTGTAAGTAGAAGTAGCAAAATGTACCTAAAATCTTGCATGTTTATGAGACAGACAAAAGACACCAGCAATCCTACCATCATGTAAAACAATTACAGGCTTTTGTTTCACACTCACTTGGCAGAACGGTAGTACCTCCCTGGGCGGTTGCTGTCTACCAACCTACTACCTAGGTGTGGGTAAAATGTTAACATATAAGCAAATCATAAGTAGACAAACATAAGGTGGTGTTTAATACCTTTAAGGATTACGAAAAGTCATGAGCAGGTGAGTAGTGTTGCAAATGTATTGGTAGGTGTTCAAAAACTATAAAGAATTTGCCAGTAAGACTAGGCCTTAGACAGGGATGTATGATGTAGCCAAAATCATTCAATGTATTTTTTTTTAAAAATGTAAATGCTAGTGTTGGGAGTGAGGTGAGGGCTTAAAAAAAAAAACTTGTTACAGTTGCTCTTTTCTGATGACAGTCTGGGTGAGTCTGAATATATGTTGATGGAAAAGTTTGAGATGTGTGTGTGTGTATATATATACAGTGGTCCCTCAATAATCGTCCGGCTCGATAGTCATCCTTTTCGAAAATCATCGCATTATTCTCGTCCAAACATTGGCTCGCAAATGGTCAGTTTACTTGTTAATCGTCCTTCGTCCGGGATGCGTACTCATGCTCTGAGCCGCCTCGGCCCCTCTTCCCAGCCAGTGTGCCATTGTAGATCAATGGTTCAGAGAACCGACACGTTGATAAATTAGACACATGTGCAACTCTTGGGTATCTTTACTGAGGAAACGTTTCGCCACACAGTGGCTTCATCAGTCCATACAAAGGAGAAACTTGAAGAACAGGAGGAGAATGAGGTAATCAGTCCCTCAGCCTTGAGTCAATGTGGTCAGTCCATCAATCTTGAATAAAATACCACATAAGTGCGGAGAAGGAGCTTATAAACCGTAGGCAGGAGAGGTGCAGCAGTCGTAGGTGGTGTCACATTTGTTCAATGTGGAAGTAGGTCGTGCCCACGGAATAGGCAAGCGAAGAATTCCCAAGTATTAAGATCCCAAGAAGTTGCACTGTCTGACAGGATTGTAGATCAATGGTTCAGAGAACCGACACGTTGATAAATTAGACATATGTGCAACTCTTGGGTAACTTTATTGAGGAAACGTTTTGCCACACAGTGGCTTCATCAGTCCATACAAAGGAGAAACTTGAGGGACTGAGGCTGAGGGACTGATTACCTCATTCTCCTCCTGTTCTTCAAGTTTCTCCTTTATATGGACTGATGAAGCCACTGTGTGGCGAAACGTTTCCTCAATAAAGATACCCAAGAGTTGCACATGTGTCTAATTTATCACAGTGTGTCATTGTTTACCAGAGAGCGAAGGTCCCTTCGCTTGTTCATACAAAATATTTCATAATACTCCATTCATTTTAGTGCTTGCAAGTGCTAAATAAGCTACCATGGCTCCAAAGAAAGCTCCTAGTGCCAAGCCTTTGGTAAAGAAAGTGAGAAATATGATTGAATTTAAGAAAAACATCACTGAACAATATGAAAGTAGCATACGTGTGGCTGAACTAGCCAGCTGAGGAGCTGCAAGAGCTTCAGCAGGAACAGGAACAGATCGCAGCTCAGAATCTTGCTGCAAAGGAGGAGGAAGAGAGATGGAAGAAGGTCCCTTCAGAAATTAAGGAGATTTTTGAAATGTGGGGTAGGATGGAAAGATTTCTGGAAAAACATCACCCTGAGAAGGATGTTGCAAGCCATATTGGCAACTTGTACAGTGACAGTCTTGGCCCATTTTAGGGAAGTTTTAAAGAGATGCCAGAAACAGAGCTCACTGGACACTTTTTCTGAGACAGAACTCCAGCGACTCTCAAGCTGGTCCTAGTGGCATTAAGAGAAGAGAAGAGAAGTAACCCCAGAACAGCACTTGGTACCCGAGGTGTTGAAGGAAGGGGATTCCCCTTCCAAACTAATCCAATGTCTCTCCTCCTCCAGTCTTCCATACACTAAGAAGAATCGCCAATAAAGGTAAGTGTTATGCTGTTAATGTTTCATTCATCATGTCCCATTGTAGTTTATGTATTGCATCTATATTTCACGCAAAAAATTTTTTTTTCCTTTAATACTTCTGGGTGTCAGGAACGGATTAATTGTATTTACATTATTTTTTTATGGAGAAAATTGATTAAAAAATCGTCTTTTTCGATAATCGTCGCACTTCCAGGAACGGATTAACGATGATAAATGAGGAACCACTGTATGTGTATGTAAAGGTAGAAAGTTGAAAGTGAACATAGAAAAGAGTATTAGAAAGTCAGGTGGGGGGAGCCGTATAGCGAGTTTTGGTCATAATTTGAAATGACCGTATTAGCGGAACGCCGTAAAGTGAAACGCCGTAAAGCGGGGCCCTGCTGTAAATATTTTTCAACAACTCGGCCGTCTCCCACCGAGGCAGGGTTACCCAAAAAAGAAAGAAAATCCCCAAAAAGAAAATACTTTCATCATCATTCAACACTTTCACCACACTCACACATTATCACTGTTTTTGCAGAGGTGCTCAGAATACAACAGTTTAGAAGCATATACGTATAAAGATACACAACATATCCCTCCAAACTGCCCATATCCCAAACCCCTCCTTTAAAGTGCAGGCATTGAATGATAAGAAACTGGATGTCCTGGCTTTATGTGAAACAAAGCTGAAGGGGGTGGGAGAGTTTCAATGGAGAGGAATAAATGGGATTAGGTCAGGGGTTTCAAATAGAGTTAGAGCTAAAGAAGGAGTAGCAATAATGTTGAAGGATAAGCTATGGCAGGAAAAGAGGGACTACAAATGTATTAATTCAAGGATTATGTGGAGTAAAATAAAGATTGGATGTGAAAAGTGGGTTATAGTAAGCGTGTATGCACCTGGAGAAGAGAGAAGTGTAGAGGAGAGAGAGAGATTTTGGGAAATGTTGAGTGAATGCGTGGGGAGTTTTGAATCAAGTGAGAGAGTAATGGTGGTTGGGGATTTCATTGCTAAAGTGGGTAAAAATGTTATGGAGGGAGTAGTAGGTAAATTTGGGGTGCCAGGGGTAAATGTAAATGGGGAGCCTTTAATTGAACTATGTGTAGAAAGAAATTTGGTAATAAGTAATACATATTTTATGAAAAAGAGGATAAATAAATATACAAGGTATGATGTAGCACGTAATGAAAGTAGTTTGTTTGATTATGTATTGGTGGATAAAAGGTTGATGGGTAGGCTCCAGGATGTACATGTTTATAGAGGGGCAACTGATATATCGGATCATTATTTAGTTGTAGCTACAGTTAGAGTAAGAGGTAGATGGGAAAAGAGGAAGGTGGCAACAACAAGTAAGAGGGAGGTGAAAGTGTATAAACTAAGGGAGGAGGAAGTTCGGGTGAGATATAAGCGACTATTGGCAGAAAGGTGGGCTAGTGCAAAGATGAGTAGTGGGGGGGGGTTGAAGAGGGTTGGAAAAGTTTTAAAAATGCAGTATTAGAATGTGGGGCAGAAGCTTGTGGTAATAGGAGGGTGGGGGAAAGAGGAGCGATTGGTGGAATGATGAAGTAAAGGGTGCGATAAAAGAGAAAAAGGTAGCTTATGAGAGGTTTTTACAAAGCAGAAGTGTTATAAGAAGAGCAGAGTATATGGAGAGTAAAAGAAAGGTGAAGAGAGTGGTGAGAGAGTGCAAAAGGAGAGCAGATGATAGAGTGGGAGAGGCACTGTCAAGAAATTTTAATGAAAATAAGAAAAAATTTTGGAGTGAGTTAAACAAGTTAAGAAAGCCTAGGGAAAGTATGGATTTGTCAGTTAAAAACAGAGTAGGGGAGTTAGTAGATCGGGAGAGGGAGGTATTAGGTAGATGGCGAGAATATTTTGAGGAACTTTTAAATGTTGAGGAAGAAAGGGAGGCGGTAATTTCATGCACTGGCCAGGGAGGTATACCATCTTTTAGGAGTGAAGAAGAGCAGAATGTAAGTGTGGTGGAGGTACGTGAGGCATTATGTAGAATGAAAGGGGGTAAAGCAGCTGGAACTGATGGGATCATGACAGAAATGTTAAAAGCAGGGGGGGATATAGTGTTGGAGTGGTTGGTACTTTTGTTTAATAAATGTATGAAAGAGGGGAAGGTACCTAGGGATTGGCAGAGAGCATGTATAATCCCTTTATATAAAGGGAAGAGAGATTGTAAAAATTATAGAGGAATAAATTTACTGAGTATGCCAGGAAAAGTATACAGTAGGGTTATAATTGAAAGAATTAGAGGTAAGACAGAATGTAGGATTGCGGATGAGCAGGGAGGCTTCAGAGTGGGTAGGGAATGTGTAGATCAAGTGTTTACATTGAAGCATATATGTGAACAGTATTTAGATAAAGGTAGGGAAGTTTTTATTGCATTTATGGATTTAGAAAAGGCACATGATAGAGTGGATAGAGGAAGCAATGTGGCAGATGTTGCAAGTATATGGAATATAGGTGGTAAGTTACTAAATG